CTCTTAGAGCTACTTTGACGCTTTCCATTAATTGTGTGGTTAATGTATGGTTACCCGTTGTAACTGGTGATGTGAAATTCAGGAAAAAAGTTAATCCCGCGCCGTTAACTAACATTGGAGCCACAGCTAAAAAAATCATACAATTTAACAATTACTTTTTTTTTTTTTTATTAGGTAACTTTGTAACATTTCAAGTTAATTTCATACTGGCAAAAGTAAAGCTTTATATAATACAAATAAGTTTGTGCATAATTTTTCATCAAAAAAAATAATAATCATTCCTTACCTGAAGAAAGACTAGCAGTTGAATAACCGGGAGAGGCTGGATTAGCGTACGGAGAACCAGTAGGATTAAAGTTGGCAACAGGACCAGGTATATCCGCATAACTAACGTTTAAACAACTACCACTCTGAGGATCTTCCACAACTTTAGCTAATAACTTTAATATAGCTTTTTTATTATTTTCCATTTCACCTGAAATTACATAAATATTTTTGTTTATAGATATTATTATACGGTTTTTATAATTGTTATTTATTGCTTTTTTTTTTTTTTTTACCTATAATAGTAACACATCTTTCCTGAAGTTGGAGTGATGCATCATTTGATTTCTGTGACAATTGAATGTAAGATCCACTTTCCTCTTTCATCTGTTTTATATAATTTCCTCCTTTGCCTATAATCATACCTGCTGTACTATTTGGAATTAATATTTTCACCTGAAAACACATACGTAGACAATTACACACATGATGGATTACATAAATTTCATTTTAAATAGAATAATTATTGACTCAAAAACATATTATTGTTGAATGAATTAAATTTTTTTTAATTAAAAAATTAGTAAATATTATATATAAAATTTAATTACTACTGTGAATTTATGCATCATTTATTGTTAAAATAACTTCATAAACTGTTATTTATTTTTTATTTGTTTTGGGAAAAACAAACAATTTTGCATAAAATTTTAGTATATCTGCAAAACAACATTAAAATATAATTTTTTGAAAAATTCTGCATTTTTAATTTCTTTTTTTTTATTAGTTTGTTTACTCATTAATTTACCCTTTGAGGCTTAAATTAAGAAATACATGTGTGTGTCTAACACCTCTAAAAAAAAACATAATAAAATTTTTTATCTTCTTTTTTTTTCTTCTCTCAATATTTATTTTACTAATTATTTATTTATGAAGGAGAATTAAATTGTCATTGAAAACATTTTCGACTAAAATTGAACATTCAAACAAATAAATACAAATATTAGTTTTTTATTTTTACAAGCAGTTAAATTTTACTAACAGTTTTCTTACATAACTTCATGTCAAAAAAAAAAAACATATTCAGATAATAATAAAATATTATTATTATTATTAAAATTTATATAACAAATTGATTAAAAATTTTCTTACTTACCTGTTTACTTCTATCAGCTGACAATTTGGACTCGGTGTCAGAAGTATTGATTGCTTTCGAAGTAAGATCTGGTTTTTCTTTAATTTTATCCATAATAAAAGACATAACCGCCATTATTGCTTCCACTGATCCAGTTACCAGACATACTCGTTCAGTTGTGCCTGAAATAAATTACAAATGAATTATTCATTTATTCAGATTAATAAAAATTTATTAACAATAACGAATAAAAAAATATTTAAACTCAAAGCTCAAATTTTTTACAAGACCTTAACCAATTAAAATTCAAACATGAAAAAAAAAAGTTCTTCAGACATAGAAGTTGTCACTTTCCTTTTTTTTTTTTTTTTATAAATTTTCAATTTAAACACTCTTGCATCACAAATAAAGTGCTTAAAACTTTAATTTTTTTTTTTTTAACTTCTTACTAGAACCATAATAAAAATACTTACATGGATAAAAATCATTAGCTTTAGACATCTTCATTCGTGCACCTGTATCTTTTTGCAGTTGAGCTATAGTTTCTCCTCCTTTGCCAATTATGGCTCCAGCTGCTATACAGGGCACCAATATTTTTAAATGATAAACTATCCCATCTCCTCCTAAAAATAAAAATAAAAATTTACTTTCACATAAAATATATGTTACTTTAATTCAACTGCAAATTATTTTTTAAATAATAATTTCAACAAGGAAAAATTTACAATATATATATATATATATATATATTTTGTTTTGTTATAAGTAATTATGTCTAGGGAAACAACATAAAAAATAATATTTAAAATAAATGAGCGTTGATTTTAAATGTTTTCTTTGATACTAAGGAAATCTACTATATATCATAATGACCAAGGCCAAATTTCCAGTTTACATAGAAAAAAAAAGGGGATTTCATTGAATAAAATTTATTTCTTAGCTTATACACTAAACTGTAAATTTATATTTTTCATACATTAAAATTTAATTAACAAATTTTAATAATATTTACCTAAGATGATTATATTTTAGTAATATTATTATTTTTTTTAAAAAAATACCTTAATCTTATATTTTATAAAATATTTATAATAATTTAAAATATATTTTATTTTAAGAAATTCTAAAATTTTAAAAATGATAATCAAACATGCACACCCATATACTCTCTCTCCCCCCCTCTCCTTTCTAAGTTAAGTATAAAGAGAAAGGATACTATATATATATATATACATATGATAGAATAAACAGAATTTAAAAAATTACAGGAATGCCTTTTCATTAATTTTCAGATGATTAACAATTTCAGGTAATAAAAATAAAACAAAACATTTAAAATCCTGTCTTTAAATATTGTTTACTGTTTTAAAAAAAGTACAATTTAGGCAGTAAAAGGCTATATCATATATGTATTGATTATGCAAAAGTAAAAAACTGAATTTGTTATTTTTCAATATATATATTTTTGTTTCATTTTATGCTAAGACATAGCACATATTAAGTTCTTGAGTTTTTTTAAAAGTTACTTTTAAAATTATTATTCATAATTTTTTTTTTCATTTTCCTTAATAATATTTCGAATATAAACATTTAATAAATTATATAATCAGTTAATTTTATATTTACTTTAAATAAATTGAATGTAATTCAATATATGTTTTTTGTAAAATATTAAAAAAAAAAAAACTGCTAGAAAATTAAATAAAAACATTAAATCCGAACAATTATAAGAATTATATTAGTTATTTATAAAATCATGTACGAGAAAATTTAAAAATAAATAAATAAAATTTTTAAAATAATTATAAATTGTAACAAAAAAAGCTCATTTTTATCTATTATGTGAAACTGTGTAATACTATAAAGTTGAGAAAAAGTAGAAAAAGAATATTAGTTGTTTAATATAAAGTATTTATGAGAAATTTCATTTTAACTCATTAATAAAATTAAAAATTAAAAATTTTTAATATTATTAGAATCCTTACAGCTATATGAAATTTGTTTTTTTTTAAAGAAATAATGTTATTATTATATATTATTTAGAGAAAGCATTGTTTTAAATAAAAAATGAAAGTAAAAAAGTATTAAAAAACCTAATAATAAAGTTTACATGTATATTTAATAAAAGCATTACAACTTAAAGCTTTGACAACTCATCAAATGTTGGCCTTCAAATGTAGGCTATCACTTAAGCTTATCAATAAGCTACATATTGATCATCAACTTTTAAAACTAGACATTAATTTAAAAATAAAATAACAGTAATTCATAAAATGATAATAATTATACCATAAGTAAATAACTGACAATGTTTACTTTAATTAATTTTTTAGGTAAACCAATATCGACATTAATTTAAACCAACCACATGGAATTTTTTTTTACATATATTTACAAATAATAAAATAAATATTGTTTTTCATTAGAAAAATAATTTTATAAAAAAATAAATTTAAAATGTTAATAAAAATTTTACTCTATTACATCAATATGACAATAACAATAAACATGGGGGGGGTATGAAGGGCTATCGTACCAAGACGCGATTACAGTTCACCTGAGGTTTTTTATGAGCCTTAAACTTATCACAATCAAATAATCTTAGGAAAAATTAATTAATATGAATACCTTACCTCCGCCATAGTGTGATCGTTTAGTTCCACCATTTTCTATGTCTCCGTCCAGCGGTCTTTTTCTTGAATCTGTAATTTCAGGGGACGTACACGTCTCCATACCCGAATCTGCCGCCATTATTTGTTGCGCAGGCCACATTGACAATTGATGACGCAAATCCAATTTCAGAAACTGGTGGCGCGCATTACTTGAACGAGTAATTATTATTTTTTCAATGATAATTACGAATAGATTTTTTTTTTTTTTTTATTGAAATTAATAAATGTTAATTAATAATTATACTTCCTAATTTTTTTTCCTTTCCAGTTAAAATAAAAACTGTATGATTTATAATTTAAAAAAATAATAACATTATAATAAAAAAAAACAAAATTTTTCAAATTAAAAAAAAAAAAAAAAAAAAAACAAAGTTACGTTTTGTTTGTATTTTTTATGTAATAATTAAAACAGTGATTTTTTGTTTTTAGTTAATTCTCAAATAACTCGACTTAATATTAATAAACAAACTGACCTATATTAATAGACAAGTTTTGAAGGTCCGCGGCGACTAAGGTCATTTCCTCCCTTCTCTTCTATTCTTGAAAAAAAAAAAAAAAAAAAATTAAAACTTCTGATTGTTTATTTTACAAAAAAAGTTTTTACAAACTAACATTCTATGAAATAATTGAATTATGAACATCCAAGTGAATTTTGAAATAATTTAAATATCACACACCCATTCCCATGATTTTCTGATAATAAATATATTAACTGAAGGCTATTTTCTTTTTTGTAATTCATACATAAAGTGATTGTCCATTTTGAATTTTTTAAAATATTACCCCTGAGTAAATTTGATTTGATATAAAAAAAAAAAAAAAATAAAATAACTTAAATTTATAGTAAGTTTCTTGAAAATAAAAACTATTTCTATTTAGATATTCATGATATTATCTAATGATGAATTACCATAGTAAATTAATGACCTTATAACTATTTTTCTTTTTTAATTTTTTAATTAGAAATGAGAAGAAAAAAAAAACTGTTTTTCGTTACTTTTTTGTAATAATAAGTAGTAGTAGTAGTAGTAGTAGTAGTAATAAAATTAAAAATTTTAAAATAAAATTTTTATCATCGACGACTATTAGTATAAAATAAAATTATTATTATTTTTAAATAATTGAAAAATTATTTTTTTTTTTTTGTTTTAAATTTCTTAAAATATTTTTAAAGTTTTTTTAAATTTATATGAAACTCGTAGTACAAAATGGTAGACAAGTAATAAAAATATATATATGAATGAAATCTTGTTGTTTTTACAAAAATGAAGTTTACTGATGTATTATGGGCTCATAATATATATCGAATAATAAATCGTCATTGGTATATACAAGGAAAACTAAAAGTTTTACCAACTAATTCGGAAAAAGTTTTAAATGAATATGGATTTAATGTTGAAGACATAAATACATATCTTTATTCAAATAAAACAAAGCAGAAGTAAGGAGGAATTATTTATTTTTTTTTTTTTTAGAGTTATACATAAAGAAACAAAAAATAAATAAATGTTTATTTTAGAAATGAAGTGAGTAAATTAAATCAAGATTTAAATTCTGAAGTAAAACCATGTTTTATGTACAAAGATGACCAAGTTTTGTTAGAAGGATTAAAACAAGCAAAAGTACTTACCAATACCATTGATTATAATGAATTACCTGAAAAAATAGTTGAATTAGAGAAAAGTTTTAAGTTAACTGAAGAAGTACACTCGAATGTAAAAAGAAAAATATTGCTTTCTTGTTTATTAGAATCTACACAGACAAAACTTCCAAAAAGAAAAGATCCATTAAGACCTGCTTGGAATTTTCCCAGAGATTATGGAATATCGGATGATAGGAAAAAGTGAGTTGATTATTATTATTATTACTTTATCAATTTTATTACTTTTTATTAAGTTAAAAAAATTACTTTACAGTGAATTATTATGTAAAAATTTGATGATGGCATGTGAAAATTATACAAAAAAGAAAAATTGTTCGACTGTATATGATACATTTTTTTCCGTACCATTTGAAGCTCATGGAAAACAAATTCAGTTTGAAATAACTAGTGAAATTTTAGTTACAACTTCTGAAAAACTAAAACCAATAACTAATCCTAATTTAACATTTCATGAAAATTTGCCAATTATTTATCCAACTCATTGTACCATTAGTTTATTACCATGTAAAAATTATGTTATGGATAATATTTATCGTGAGTATTTTAAATAGTAAAAATTAGTCTCATTATGTTGCATAGCATGTTTGTATTCATTCTAAATTTTTATATTTTTAGCATTAAGCATGAAGAGTAAATATCCATTTGTTCAAACTGCTATATTACATTTAAATTATTCTCAAATGAAAAAAATTTGTGATGAAATAACAGAAGAACAAATATTGGGTAGAAGTCTTTTAAAAGGCTTTACCATTGCTGCTGCTCAAGCAAGAGCTGAATATGGGGTAATTAATAATTCATTATTTTTTTTAATCAGTTTATATAAATATCAATAATTATAATTAATTAAATTTAATAATTTTAGAATGAAATAAGTGAATTACCTGAACCAGTGGTTATCCCAATTGTTCACACAGATGGAAGAATGTTTCATTTTTCAATATATCAGTTAAATACTTTAAATTTAGACAAAGAGACAAATTTGAAGAATATTTTTTGGAGCATTCCAAGAATTCCACTGTATGATGAATGTCAGTATAAACAAGGGAAACCTGTATTAGAAAATTACAATTCTGATGTAATTGAAAAATTATTAACTTTTTTAAATATTAAATAAAAATCTTTGAAATTGATTTTTTTACTAAAAATCCATTCAATAATGACACATTATTTATGATGCTGGCAAAAAAATAAATAATTTTACCAGGTTTGAGGAAATTTACAACAAAACATGATAAATATTATTTTAATAGTTTAAGACAAACAATAGTCAAGTTTAAAAACATTTTATTTCAAATGAAAAATATACTGTACAGTGGGTTCTTTTAAATGTAATTTTTTTCTAAAAAAAAGGTAATACAGAACAAAACAAGGCTGATTCTATTAAATTTACTCAACTTCTTATATAATAATTGTAATCTTACTATTTATAGTTTGTTGTCAAAATTTTTCCATGGTTTAAAAGCATTGTAATGTTTACTTGTACTGTCCTTTGCTTAAAAAATTTTCTTTTGAATGTTATCGTGAATCAGTCTCTTTAAAACTGCGATACACGTGTCTAATTTGTAATAATATTTACATTTTTATAAAAAAAAAAAAATTAATATTTAAAATATAAATATCGGATTATTTTCTAAATGGCATATCTAGTCAAATGAAACAATATATATATTTATGTTTTATATTTATTCGCTTTCCGAACCACTTGACGATTCAAATTCACCAACATTTATACTAAATTTATATTCTTGATCACATCCCAAATAAGCATCACTCATAAAATACAAAGTGTAGGAATGATGACCCGGATTAGGAGCTATAAAATCTAATTTTACTTTTGCTTTTTGTTGTAATGTTAATCTTTTTATGGATAATAATGAATTAGTTTTGGGATCACCAATGACCACCCACCAGCCTTCTTCTCTTTTTTGAGGGAAAAAGGGTGCTATTACGGGTCCAGAAACATCATCTTCTCGTTCTAACAACACCTGAATGTTAACCGTTGAACCCGTATGAATTCTATAAAAAAAAAAAAAAAAATTAAATTTAAATGTAAAAAGTCCTTTAAAAAAAAAAAAAAGAAAACTATTTTTAAAAAATTTATTCACCTGTCTTTGTTCTGAATTTCGTAAATTAATTCTATATTGGGATACCGATTACAAAATCTGGCAACGTCCACCATTTGAGAATCGCTCAATTGAAGAAGTTTTATTCGATCATCGTCCTCGAGTTCCATTATATCAAAAACGGTTTCAACATTTTTCTCCGAACATCTTTTTATAATTTCGGATGTGAAATGAGGTAATTGTTTTAAATAAGAATCTTTTGACCACATGGCTTGAGTAACCATTTGAGCCAATTCCATAGCTGCTACTGCTGGAGCGAGCCAACCATTTGAACTAAGAACGTCAACACAAGCTTGTATTAACCTCACAGCTTTTCCAAGTATTATTTCCGTGTCTCTCTGTAAAAAATTAAAAATTATAAGTAAAAAAAAAAAAAAAAAAAAAAGTTGGATTTAAAAAAAAAAAAAAAAAAACCTGTAAGTCTGGGCTAAGTTGTATTCTTGAAAGGTGAGCTTGTAACAAAATATTAGTTTTCACATGTGGATCATTAAATTTGGTATTTGAATTCAATTTATTCGGTAACTTCATTGACAAAGTACGTAAAATGGTGTCTTCCCTGTGTCTGACGGGTATATCTTCATATTCCGCTGCTGAAGATATTATTTCCAACAAACCTCGAATTTTCGTTTTGCTATTTAATGATAAGCTGAACAATTCTGTGAATAAGAAATGAAAAAAAAATTACGATAAACAAAATAACGAATAATAAGTGAAATTAAAAAAATAAATTAAAATTACCAATAGTCGTATAATTAATGTAATAATAAGCAGCTATCATTCCAAGATTCAACGGCATGCAATCCATTTCGTCTTCAATACTTATACATTTTGACTGTTCTAAATCGTTAAGAGTTGTTTCAACCAATTCTGATAAATGATCAGACAGATGACGATGAGTGACTCCTTGTAAATTGTAATAATTTGGATTTTGAGTAAGACGTCGATATAAAAATGTCCATGTTAAATAATCAACGGCATCTTGTTTGTTTTCAATTGTTTTAGTGACTATTTCAGCATTGAAATGATCGTGTAAACGGTGATCCAAATGACTCTGAAAGGTAAATAATAATAATAATAATAATTTTTACAAATGAAATATAAAAAATTGATAATATTTCAACTGCAATGCAAATTAATTCAAATTTAAATGAATAAAAAAAAAAAAAAAACATTTTTACAAAAGAAGGGGAATTGAATCAAATTGAGTTGTAATATATTAAAATCTACTTACCTCTACAGGTAAAGACTCGTTTAAGAATTTTTTAAAAAAATCTTTTTTAGAGCTCTGACACATTAACACACATTTAGCATCATCGTCCTCTAAGGGTCTGTTGGCTTTTCCAATCATTTGTAAAACGTCGGTGACAGGATAATCTTCGTAAGCATGAATTTTTCCATTGTAAAATTGAGTGTCCATAATGATAACAAGATGAGCTTGAATGTTCAGTCCCCAACAAAGATTTCTGGTAACGACTGCAATTTGTACTGCACCAGAATCAAAAAGTTGTTCCACAAGTCTGTGATCATTTGGAGTCAAACCTTCGTGTATGTAAGCCACTCCTTGAATCAATGTTTCTTTAAGAGTCTAAAAAAAAATTATGTTAATATTATTTACATGTTTTAAATGTAAAACAAACATTTATTAACAAAATTTTCTTGATATAATAATAAAACGTATACATATGACATGTTTTTTATAATTAAATTGACTTACCTTATCAGACATTCTCTCTAAAAAGGGCTGAATATCTTCTTCTTCAGCGTGAAAGAATCTGTTCGGCTGAGATTCAGCTGCCGCAAAAGTAAGAAGGCTAATCGCTGTAATTCTGGCCTGTTTTCTTGTGGGTACAAACACAATAACCGGTTTGTGAGAACTATGTTTCATTATGTTGTTAAAAACTGGCTTTGACATGGCTATTAAACGCGAAGCGTTGTGAGTAATGTTGAATCCCTGAACGTGCAATTCGAGGGGTACAGGTCGCACACTTGGATGAAAATTAAAGGTGGCATTCGAATTACAGCCAAGCCATTGAGAAACGTCACGGGCATCTGCCAAAGAAGTCGAGAGGGCAACAATTCTTATTTGTTTCTCTAATTGAGATGAAATGTATCTCATTCTGGAGCACACGACTTCTAAAACTGGTCCATCTTCTCCTCCGATTAATTGAAGTTCATCAACAATAAACAATTGAATATTTTGAACATTTTTTCTTTGTTTCCATCTACGAGACAAAACGTCCCATTTTTCTGCCGTTGTTATGATAATTTGACCTTTGGCCAAAAGTTTTAAATCTGTGCTAGTTTCTCCAGTTAATAAAACAACCTTAACGTTTAAAATACAATTAAAAATTTGCTGCCATTCTGCAAATATGAGTTCTGCTAATGAATCTTTTGCCACTAAATAAACGCATCGTCCATCGGGATTTTGCGATAAAAGCCGAAGAACAGCGAATTCAGCTATCGTTGTTTTACCCGAACCTGTTGGGGCTCCAATGAAAATATTGTCATCCGTATTATAAACTGCATTAAATACCTGAGTTTGTATTGGATTAAATTGTGGAAACTTTTTTGAATATATACTCTCATACAACGAATTACGTAGAGCGGTTACTGGTAACGGCTGCAAATCTAATAATTCTGTCGAGGGTAAATTTTTTTCCGGCAACATCAAATGTCTGAATGAAACTGGCAATTGTGTTTCTGCACCGATCCAGCGATCGGAAACAATCCTCAGAAAATATTGAGGAGGTAAGGGTTCAAATACCGGAACGAAAAACTTTACAAGATGCTCATCGCTCGCAAATTTTGATTTAAGAAGAAAATATTCATGGTGAAGAATAACTTCGGAATCTACGTCTTCAACTAATATCCAAAAAGCTTCAGAAGAGCCATGGAGTTTTTCATCCCACTGAAAATCAGGTGTAATGGTAAGTTCTACTCTAAGGGTAGATCTAGTGATTGGCTGAATATGAGTAGATAATTCTAACTTAGGAAATTGATGAACATATTTATGAACCGTTTTACCAAGTTTCGGAACTCTTATCAATTCTCCGATTTCGTTGGGACCCAAGTCGTACAATCTTTCCCAGGGAAAATTTTTCTTTTCAATTTTTTTAATAATTTCTTCAGGCATTTTTCGAAATTGACGAAGAGGTGACATTGATTGCCACATTCGTCTATCGATCATTTTGCAAAGTGACAAACATTTATCAGCAAGTTGAGCCCAACCACGAAATAATACAATTTCAAATATAGCTCGCATAAGTCTGGCAGCCGATTGAGTTACATAAATCATATCGGACATTAAAGCAAAGCCCTCTAACTTTAACTGAGAAATATATGCTTGAAGTAAAACATTAACTTTAGCACTAGGCTCTTCAATATTTTCTTTTATAGGTATCGGTACTCTTTCCATGAGTTTTTGAAGCTCTAGTTTTTCTTCTTCTCTTACATTAATGTTTCTAAATTCGCCAGACAAAGAAAAAACTCTGAATAATTCAATTTCGCTTAAAGTTGGTTTCAAAAGTTGATTATACACAGCCATTGTCTCGTGAGTACAATAGTAATGACTACAAATTCGGCCGAGTTCCGTGACTTGAAAATGTCCAGTTTTTCTATCATATTTAATTAAACCACTTCGATCTAATTGAAGAGCAGCGGTGTGAATTAAATCTGCTCTGAAAGATTCAAGCAGTGGATCTTCTTTTAAATGATCATGAGAGATTCCATACAAAGTTGGAGATCTCAACATCCTGAAAATTTTTAATGCAATATGTCAATTAACGGGCTGTTAAAAATAATGAAAATTTAGTTTATTCCAGTAAAATAATATTAAACTAATTCACTCCAATTTTTTAAATGAATTAAATCGCAATTCTTTCGATTTTCAAAATAAATTATTATAAATGATATTATAAGTAAAAATTTTTAATTACCTTATGTAAAGATAGGTATAACCTAGCCATGTTACTGCATCTCTGACAGTTTGGATTGTGCCTAATACAATTTCTGCGTTTAACATGTCAGGTATTTTTCCCACCAATTGTGATTCAATAGGTAGTTGTTGATTAAGAAGTGACAAGTAATATTGAAGTTCACTATGATTTGTAATTAATATACCTTCTCCTTTGGTATCATACTGTGGACGACCTGCTCTACCCAACATTTGCAAAACATCCAACGCTCCAAGTTCAACCCATCGTCCTTTTTCAGGATTGTAAACTTGTGTTCCTTTTATAATCACAGTATGAGCCGGTAAATTTACACCCCAAGCCAATGTAGCTGTTGAAACGAGAACCTGAAAAAAAATTAAATTATTCTTTATTAGTTATTTTCTCTTGAAATGATGATTTTTAAGTATATTAAACAAATTCATAATCATTGTGTCGTGAATTTATGTGATGATATTAAAATTCTTATTTATTAAAAAAAAAAAAAAAGTTTTATCTTACTTGAATATGTCTGTCAGCAAACAAATCCTCTACCAAAGTTCTATCGACTCTAGTCATTCCTGCATGATGAATAGCAAACCCATACGGCAATAAATCTTTTAATTCTGAATTTTTCACTTGTTCCGCTTCCGTTCTCAAAACTTCCATCGAAGCCGAACCTTCTCTTAAAAATTGACCCAAAGTGTCTTTTTCTAAACACATATCTCTAATAGCTCTAGCAGTTTTCCCTGTTTCTTTTCTTGAATGTACAAAAACCAAAACTTGATTTCTACCGGCATGTTCCATTACTTTTTCGTAAACTATTTCATTCATTACTTGAAATCTTTTTAAAGCTTTTTTTTCAGTTACTCCAATATACTGCTGCTCAAGAGCTACAGGACGAAAACTATTGTCAAAGTAAAAAAGCCCAGTTTCTGTTTTGACTCGTAAAAATGTTGCTACATCTTGATAATTTGGCAAAGTGGCAGATAATCCCACTAATCTAACATCTTCCTGTGCGGCCTCTATTTTTCTTATAGTTCTGGCAACTAGTGCTTCTAAAACTGGACCTCTTTCATCATGAAGCAGATGAATTTCATCAATTATAATTAGACGAACCAATTGAGTAAACGTTTTATCTCCTCCTTTGCGAGTTATTATATCCCATTTTTCAGGAGTGCAAACAATAATGTGAGTACTTTGAATTTGCTGTCTGTTCAATTGGTGATCTCCTGTCAATTCTGACACCACTAAATTATAGGAATGTAATCTTTTATTGAAGTTTCCAACCATTTCTTGAACCAAAGATCTCATGGGTGCTATGTAAATTATTTTAAATTCGTCTCCCATAATATTCCCCTCGTGATCAATGTGTTTTCCAATTTCTCTCATCATACATAAAAGAGCCACATTTGTTTTACCTGCCCCTGTAGGAGCACATAAAAGTACGTTTTCATCAGATTCCAAAGCAGTTTTATACAATCGGCTTTGAATTCTATTCAAGGTTTTAAACCCTTCAAAAGCAGGTTGAACGTATTTGGGCAACTTTTCAATTGGTACTAGCGATTCTTCTGAAGCAAATGGCTTTGGTTTTAAGGCAGGAACATGCACTTCTTCATAACCCTTTCTTTGCTTTCTAAATGACCCGTCAGGAAGTTGACATCTTTTATTAGCCATAAAATGAGAACCCTGGGAAAATGTTAGTTCCTCTAAATCAACTATTTGTCGAGATCCTTGAATATTCCCTTTTCCATCATCAGTTTGCTCCTTACGTCTAGTAGTGCGTGAAATTCCACTTTCTTCTTGAACCTCATCCTCTCCCTTACCGGTATCTAACTGACGCAAAATTCGAGCTAAAGCTGGGATTTCGTTCATTTCGTCTCGAATCTTTTGCCTTTCAGATTCACTTTGGGATGAAGCTAACAATGTACAATATGAAACTAAAAACAAAAATTTATAAATAAATTAAATTAACTGATTTAAATCTTTCTAAAAAATTACATTATAACAATAAATAATACAAAAAAAATTAAAAGGATTATATAAAAATAATCAGATATTTATCAAAAAAAAAAAATTATTTAAAAGTAGATTTTAAGCCAATGATTTAAGTATTTTTCAATTAATATAATTAAAATAACACAAATATAAATATAATGAAAATTAACAATTACTTACTCATGTGCCTGTGTTTTTTGAGTAATTTTATAAAATCAAAGCAATTATATCCAAGTAACAAAACTAACTGATTTTCAGTTTCCCTATCATCACCAGCATTCTTTAAAACAGCAAGAACTTCAGCTGCTTTGGCTTGAGATATCATGGCATCATCATAAATTTTACTTAAACATCTTTGTAACCAATAAGCATCTATATCCAAGGGATGTAACGATTTTTCTTTTTTCATTTCCTCAGTGACGCCCAACTTTGAAAAAAAAATTAAAGAAATTGTGGTTTTTAATATTCGGAAAAATATTATAAATAAAAAGAACACTTACATTTTCAGCTCTTATTGCTGAATCTACTTTGGAATCTTCTCCTTCCTCTTCCAAATCTTCGTCTTCTCTTACTTCACCAAATACATCTTCATTGCTTTCTTCCTCTGATTCTTCAAATTGCACATTTATACCATATGTTTCATCAATATTTGCTTCATCTATAATTTCTTTTGTTTTTTCCTCTGAACCAAAATCGGTTATTTTTTTACCGAGATTTACTAATAAAGCAAATCTTTCATCAGCCACGCTTCCAAGAAGCAATTCTGTCTCTTTTTTCTTTTCTCTTTCTTTTAATCTGTCATTTTTAAGTACCTAAAAATCAGATTTTATTACTTTTGGCAGTACGTAATAACTTACCAACTTGAGTTAAAAAAAAAAAAACTTTTTTTAAACTTTATATAAAATGATTAACCAAAAATCAAAAAAACAAAAATTAAACTTAAGACACGAAAAAAAAAAAAAAAAAAAAATTAAAATACCTGTAGTATTTCATCTGCTGCTCCACAAAGTATATCTCGAGGCTGATCACCCAAAGCTTCTTGAATGAAGCTCAACAAAACTTCATAAGTTTGTCTCGTTTCTTGAGTTTTCGGTCTGTATATGATACCAACCATTTCGTCAACACCTTCTGATAAAAGGGTAGCTCCCTTCATTCTAGCAAAATCATATTGCGCTTCATCTCGTTTTTGACGCCTTTAAAACATAAATAAATACTTTGACATAACTTTATTAGCCATCAATGAAACTGTAGAGCAAATAAAATTTTATAGTTACTTTGCTTTTCTTTCTTCTGCTTTTACTGGTTTGCTTCTCTGAAAACGATCACCCATTCGTGTCCCATCTAGTTTTCCAACTAAAGACATCACCTCTCCGGTAGCCTCATCTCGGCTTCTTCTCTCAATGAGCCTAACATCGGCTTGTAAAACTAAATTAGAATTCTGAAAATATAAATTATTATTAATAGATACATTATTTATTATTTTAAATAAAAATCAGTTTAATATACTTACGGCTTTGTACTCGTATTGCAGCTGACGAGCTGCAGCATCCGCCATTATAGAAATGTATGTAAACGAAACCGTAGCATTGAAAAAACTGAAAACCAACTCTGTGCAGGGAAAAATTTCCCTGCATAAAAATGTCTGCTATTTTTTAAAATTTACTTAGAAACGTCGAAAACAATTCTTCAATTTTATGCATAAAAATAAACTTTACCTTTTACCTTTTTACTTTTTTCTTTTTAAACTTCTAAAAATCAATAATTGTCTTTTTTTTTAATTACATAGTTATTTGATAAATATGAATTTCATCAAAAAAAAATTTTTTTTGATGCCCTACCAAGAAAGTTTGAACAAATTAAAAATTATAATTATTTTTCTACAAAGTACTTTTTTTTTAAAAGCAAATTTTTGAATTTGAGCAAAAAATCTCTAGGTAATTTTTTAAAACGCAAACAGTAACAATATGGCGATTTAAAATGCCGGAAAAATACATGAACGGAAATTATTATTTTTAAAATTTGAACTTGCTATATAAAAATTAATTTTTGAAATTAAATTGTTTGCTAAAAAGTACTTATCAATGGACTGCGAAAATTATTCAGAATCTTCCGATGATCGATTTATAAATCAACAGGAACACAGAAACGTTAGTCGATTATGGGAAAAAACAATTAATAAATTTTCCTCGACAAAATTTGTTTTAGATGAAAATGGAAATAATGCAATTGACATCTGTACAAAAGGAAATAATTTAAATGTAAATACGGATTATCAAGGCAATTGTCCTGGGGTTTGCGATGAACAATTAACATCTGATTTTGTACAAAAAAAGCTTGCCAGAGGCAAATCTTTTGCTAAAAAAAAATCTCCTTTGCAAAAATTTGATGAAGTAGTTTCAAGAGAATTATTGGTGAGTTTTAACATGTCAGAACACAAAATTAAAATTAATCGCTTTAATAAATTTTATTTTAAACATATTTAGAATTATCGTATGTCGGAAGACAGTGGAATGCCAGCTTTTGAAAGTACGAAAAAATGGTCTTCATTACAATTTCCAAAAACTACTTTCGCGGATATTAGTAGGGGTAAAATACCAGTTAACACAAAATTTAGCAAAAGCACAATTGACAACGTAGAAAAAGATATAAAAGACGATGAAAAATTTGAAGTAGAAAATTCTTGTTTAATGGAAGCCATTGAAAAACTAGCTCAGGTTAACACGCATGACAAAAAAATAAAAATGTTTTTATTGTATTCATGACTAATAATAAATAAAAAAAAATTAATTTTAGGCTCAAGCTTTTTGCAGATTTGATGCAGCCGTTAAAGCGGCGGAAGCTGCAATTGCATCCGTACCTCCGGAAAAAGCTGAAGAAGTTGCTGTTGCCTTTGCCAAAGATTATCAATCGGAAATAGTTGATGTTATAAATGAAAAAATTCCAATGTCGGAAGAAAAAAAACCAATTGAAGTTATTGGATACATAGGTGTTACAAAAATGAAAGATTGCAACAAATGAATTCGTATTTATTATTTAAATTTAAATTTAAATTATTTTGATGAAATTTTTTTTTTTTTTTTTTTTGTTAAATTTTTCTGTATAAAATTAAAATCGAATAAATAAATTTTACAAAAAGTTTTTTTTTCCCCCTCCCCCTCCCCTTCTTTTTTCATATCAAAAAAAAAAAAAAAGAAAAGCAAAAAAAAGAAAAATAAAGAAAAAATAATAATAATAATGATTTTTATATTAAATTTGTTTTTAAAGGGGTAAAAATTGAAATAAAATAAAATAAAAATTTCAAATTATTTTTTATTTTTGGAGTTTATTTTTGTTTTTTTCCGATACGGTTATCAGGTACGGTAAGGCTCTTAAACTTCCCTTAGAACGATCTCTTTTATCTTTTCCTTTTAAATTTTTTGATGATCTCTCCGTCATTGTAGGTATAATACCATCGTCAACCTGAGTACCAGTGTCACAATATGATACCGAATTACTATTATCAAGTGATGTTACTTGATCATCTTCCAGACAATAGTTATTAAAAGAAGTTTGAATTTTTTTTGAATTTTTTTCAATATCATTTACATAACTTAAACTTCTTAAATTATTTTCACTAGTTTTATTACTATCATTAATTGTATTACTGACAACACTTCTATAATTATCACTTATATTATCCACACTTTCATTACTAACATTTATTTTATCATTTGCATTTTTATTATTATCATCTGTTATATCATTGACAGTTTTATTATTATCATTTTTATCTGGTTTTATAATAGCTTTATCACTTGGTTCTTTGGCCAGAGACTGTCGAAAAACAAAACAAGTTGGTTTTTTATCATTTATCTTTTGTTGATTTTTAAATTTATCATTTTTTGCGACCCACGATGGTAAAATTTCAGTTGTTGAAATTCCATCTTGCAAACTTGTTTTCTTACAACGAATATTATCAGCTTTTTCTGATTTCGGATGATTTTTCAATTTGTATATGGGAAGTTTAATAAATTTAACGGTGGAATCTTTTTTATTTACTGGAACGATTACGTAATCCTTTTTATTAACATTTTTATCAGTACCGAAATCCAATTTAGATAATTTTGAATCATCAATATCGATATCAGAGGTTTTATCATTCTTGCTTATTTGAAGTTTATGAAACTGACCATAAATTCTTATTTCTTTAGGAAATGCCGTAATTTTTTTTGAATTATTTTTATTATTCTTTTTTTGCGAATCAAAACTACTCGATGAACCGTGCATATCTTTTTTTTTTTTTTTTTTTTTTTTTATTTTTATTTATTTATTTATTTATTTTTTTGGTTTCCAATTTAGATCTTGAACACTGGTTGAGTATAAAAAATGAATTTTTTTTTTTTAAGCATGATATATGAAAAGAAATTTTTATAAATAATAATTTTAACAATTTCCCATTTTTTTTAGTAAAACTTATTCTTCAGAATTTTTTTTGTTGAAATTAACCAAAAACTTAAGAATAATTTAAATTAATAAACAAAAAAAAACCTTAAATTTCATTCAAAATATTTTGCAATTTTTTTTTTTTTTTAGAGAGAGATAAATGTTTTCCTTCATTTTCCCTTTTCAATCATTTTTTTAAACACAAATAATAAATCAATCATCTCTCTCTCTCTCTCTCTCTCTTTTTTTTATAAAAATAATTAATTATAATATGCGTACATGTTAGTTTTTGTTTATGTTTTATATTAGAAAAACTCATGAATCGGATGAACGGTTGTTGTTTTATAATCGACAAAATTTTTTCGTTAATTTAACCCTTACTTACCTAATTAATTTTTTTTTTTTTTTTTTTTGTTGCAACAGTCAAGAGTTATTAAATTTAATTAAAATTATTTAAAAAAAAAAAAAAATTTTTAAGAAATGACTTTGACTTAAATCATTAACTGACACACATTCACGAAAACATTAAAATGGAACTCGTGACAGTTGAATTTATTAATAATAATTGATTTATTCATAATGAATTACGATGATTGAAAATTAAAATTTATAAATATTCACATTCATTTCAATTCAAATATTAATAATACTAATAATATTGTTCAAATTAAATGATAAACTATTTCAAATATTAAAAAAAAATTATGTTTTTTAACGAAACGTTATTTGCCAACGTGTAAAAATTAATTTTCCCTCACGTTTTTTTTTGTTTATGTTCGTCATGTTTTAATAAATTATTTTAAATATTTATATATATATATTATTTACTTATTTATTATTATTATTATTATGTTCAGATTTCGCATAATGTTATTTTAAATTCTTTTTTTTCTTTTATTAGCCATATTTATCATTATTATTATTATTGTATTCGAAAAAAATAAAAAAAAGTAAGTTAATTATTACTTATTTTCTCGATATCAACACGACAAATTAATATAATAAAACGTTCTACAATTTAAATATTTGTCAACGAAATGTTATGATACAAATAAATTAAAATTATAATTAAATGATGATTATAAAAAACATATATGATGACTTACCGCCATTTGTGTTCATCCATTTCATTCCATGTCCATTTCATTCATTTCAGTTTCTGAAAAATAATAATTTAATTTTTATTATATAAATAATACGAGTTTAGGATGTTAAGAAAGTTTATTATATGTAGAGTGTTAGTTTATTAAATGTTGTGTTAAAGAATAATAATACTGTATTTACGTATTGTAAATATAAAAAAAAATTTTATATTATAGAATATGAAATCTCAATTAGAATATCCAAAATCGATACTGAAAAAAAAATCACAGTTTGATACATTTTCTATGGAGTCGGTTAATGAGCCGAGCATAAAACAAGTTAAATCGATTCGTTTTAGTTTTGAAGAAGAAAAAAAATTTTACGATAAAGAATCAAATAATAAAACAAAATTTAAAAAAAATAAAAGGAATTATTCGGATAAATCAAGAGTGGATAATTTAATTACAGTCAAAAGTATTCCAAATATCCAAATTCGTAATGATTTTGAATTGGAAATTGAAAAAATTAATTTATCACAATCATATATCGAAGATAATAATAATTTTATTGTTTTTTCTAAAAAAAAATTCAACAACGTTAAATCCGAAAATAATTACTGTAACGATGAAAAGGTAAATATTTAATTATAGATAATAATAATGAAAGTTTTCAATGAGACAAATTATATTTGATTAGGAAAAAATTGAGTGTTTAAATGAAACGAAAATAGAAAATACTGGTAAAAAACAAAAGAAAAGAAGAAGAAGAAGAAGAGGGAAAAGAAAAGTTAAACAAAATACTTCTTCGAATTTATAAATTAATAATTTTACCTAATTTTTTTTTTTTTTTAAATATAAATATGGCAATAAATACAACAGTAATGTAGAATCTAACAAGCAGCAATTCAAAAAAAAAAAAAAAAGAAGTTTGTAATTTTAACTCACATATAATACATATTTTACACTTTAATAGTTTTAAACATAATAGATATTAGTACAAATTATAAAGTTTAAAACAAATAAAATTTATTTTAAAAAAAACACTTAACGTTTCTTTAGTCTATTCAAACTAAACTGTTTCTAATGAGTAAACTAATAACGTAGAGGCGGGAAAATAAAAACGTGTAATTTTCAGGGCCCTTTTTCAATTTTCTAAAACCCCGACATTCATTTGAGTTGCGTAATATTTAATATTTATTGATTTATTTTTTATTTTCAAAAAAATTTAATTTAAATATATATACATATTTAGTCCAATTATTATTATTATTATTATTTTAATTATTAACAAGTGTATTAATTTATTATTTTGTGTAAGGTCTGTGTTAATTATTTACAAAAAAAAGAAAAGAAAACTTTAAAATTTTGCTTATTATTGATTGTATTTCACTTGGCAAAAGCTCAGGAAATAAAAAAAAAATTTTTTTTTTTTTGTATAAAATATTGATTAAGTTTGAGAAAAAGAAAAAAAATGAGTAAAAATTAGTAAAAAATTTAAAAAATAAATTTTTTTTTTGTAGAAAAAAAATTAATAAATTATTTTTTAGTTAAAACCTGTAGTAGTATGTAATTTATCTTTTTCATTCTTTTTTTTTTTTTTTTAAATAAATTATTAATGGATACTATATTTATTTATTTATTTATTTTAAATTAGGTTTTTAATATAAAATGCTTAAAGTAGAGCTATTAGATTTTGAAAAAGAATTTTGAATTCAACAGAAAATTTTTAATAAATGGTTTGTTTATATTTTACGCGCCAGAAATAAGTTTTAATGGGTCAAAATAAAAATAAAACCTTTTAATGCCTTTTTTATTTAAATAAAAGTCAACGTCCTTTTCAAAATATTCTGTCGTCAAAAACCTATAAATTATTTTATTTTTTTTAATGGCCTTTTTAATAATTCAATAATGCCTGATGTCGAGAGTAGAAAATAAAAATTTTTTTAATTTTACATTCAAATACGTGCTCCTCGATTTATTTTATTAAAAAAAAAAAAAAAAATTCTTTTATTTCTTTTTTAAAGGTAAAAAAATCCAATTCGAACCCTTTCAAAAAAAAAAATTTTTTTTAATCTTTTTAAAGTTTTAAAAAGGTAAAACGAGGTAATTAAATTTAAATTACAAGAGAGAGAGAGAGAGAGAGAAAGAAAATTTAAATTGTTACGTAATTTAAATCGTTAAACAAATACGATGTTCATAAGAAAATGATTAATGAAATTCATATGAGAAATCACATGTGATAATAATAATAATAATAAAATTTGGTAAGAAATTACACCTAAAATTCGAATTTAAATAATTAATAATAAATTCTCAAATTAATTAAAAGGAAATAATTTAAAAATTATAAAATTATTCAAATAAGATTCATAAAATCCCGCGACACCCGATGGATTTATTCAATAAATATTATTATTATTATTATAATTTATACGATAATTATTATGTTATATATAAATATTTCTAAAAAAAAAATTTATTTGA